TTTTACAAGGCTGTAATTCCTGAATAATATTTAGGAGTTTGGTATCGGTTTACCACAAGAGTAGTCGGTTGGGATTAAAAGAGAGAATGGCAAACAGATTGGTTTGATCTTGCCAGATCAAATGGAAGATGAACAGATCTGAGAGCATTAGTTGCAAATTAGTCCGATGATAAGACGCGCATTGTTCTTGCTTTTAACATCACAACAGTTGTTAGATGTCACAAAAGAAATATGGAATGTTAAATAGAAAATCTTAAAATATTATTCATGGACGGAGTATTTTAAGTGCTCATCATTTTTAAATGCTTTGTTGTACTTGGTAACACGTCCTAGCAAATCAATTAAAATTATTGGATTTGTGTTTGATCTACACGCAATGAGCTCGCCTTCAAAAATTTTACTCGTGTCCATTTTTTTAATTAAGAAAATTCGGAGGAGCTAGGAAATCAGTTCAAATGATTTTATTCTCGTTGACTGTTTTTATTCTTTCGTATCGATAAACAATAATTATAGACAAGGTGAACATAATTGGAATAAATATAATAGATGAATTATTCTACAACATTCTACATACATACTTACAAGGTGAGAAATCTTTTTTAAATACAAGAAAATCCATTCAGCCCATTCATCCCCTCTAATCATCGATCTAACCTCTCTTTTTTTTGAACGCACTAGGCAACACGCCAACCAATCGTTTTCTTCCTTCTCCACTTCCATGCACGCCACTTTCACCAACCAATGCCTCAACAATTCCCCAAATGGATAATACGAAACCAAGGAAAAACACCACCAGCATAAACGCGGCCGGTACAAAATCTTTGAACACTTGGGATACCTCGCCGTTTGGTTGGTCGAAGGCATCACCCACCAAATCCGACATCACAAATGACATCAGTAAAAGACTGTACAACGTCATGACGATCCCCTCGCGTACTCGACTTGTGCCAAATCGCCACCATTTTGCACCGAAATTTACCTCGTGAAATTCGGAAACATCCACGCGCTTTTTCTCCTTGAAAAACAGGGAGAATAGCATTAATGGTGAATAGTAGAGAACCGTGAATGTTGGCTCGAAATCTTTGTTTCGAAGGTCCAGGTAAGTCCACACAGTCACGAAAAAGATGTATAATAAGAAAAAGGCTAATGGTATAATGATTAAGAAAATAAAATCAATAGAGTATGATTTGTCATCTTTTGTCGTCGATGTGTCATTATGATGAATCAACTTATAACCGGCGTAGATCAAGTTGAACAATACTAGGGTGGAAAACCACATCACTCGGGACATTATCTGATTACGAGGAATCACCCGACCGAATGGAGGTGAAAGATATGCGTAATTTGAATTGAATGCTAATCCACCTCCTGTTCCTCCGCTTACTAATGTCAATGGTAATAGGTCACTAGAATCACGGTAATGTGATTCACGATAATCTTCTTTCGAACTGGCGTGTGATGGGTTAGGATGTGTATCCATTTCTTTTGTGTGTATTTGATCTGCCCGTTTATTAAGAAAGAATTAGCCAAGTAATTAATGAAATCTGACACAGCATTAACCTTATAATTACCACTACTGGATTTATGAACAGCATGCATGAAACCTTTTTCCATGTTCGACATGCTTAAGTCTCTACTTCGATTAATTGATGAAGTAGTTGGCGAAGATAATTTACCAAGTTTTGATTGTGATGAGTTACTACCGCCACTACCACCACCACCACCACCACCACCACCACCACCGTTTCCATCGCCACCCAATAAACTCAGTGGTCTTAAACCGTGTCCATCCATTCGATGCCTTATATCAGGTATATCCAGATTACTATTATTATGAGTGTCAATATGTGTAGGTGCATGTATTGGACTAGAGGTCAAAGGGGTCTTTGGCAACATAACATCCGATTGACGTGTTGGTAAATGTAATTGAACATTCGCAGGATCATAAACTTCTTCCTCGCTTTCCTCATCTTCCTCAAATAAAAGATCCTCATCAATGCTCGGACGTGTTTGCACAGATTCCGATAAATCAGAATTCTTCCTTGTATGATCTTTGACCGGCATTGTAAAAGATCTGATTGGTGGTTGAATCGGAATACGATGTAATTGTGGTAATTGAGACTGTTGGTGCGTCATCGTTGATGTAGTTGTTGTTGTTGATGTAGGATTATTATTGTTGTTATTATTGTTATTGTTATTACTTGAGATGTTACTATTGCTATTATTATTTGAATTGTTATCAGGAAGACCACCACTACCGT